TGATGTCACAGTGCACTTAGGAAAGACTCCAGGAGGGCATCAAGATGGCTCAACAGGTAAAGGCACTTGCTGACAAACTCGATGACCTGAATCCTACCCCCAGAACCCCTAAGTTGTCCCCTGACTTTCACACATGTGTCATGTCTATGTATATGTACACGTGCAATAACTGTAATTTTTGAAAGAGATAAGACAGGGTGAAAAGCAGAGAAAGGCGATGTATTCAATGTGACCACACTGGAAAGAGAAACAAATAACGGGGTCCAGTAACTCCAAATCCATATTCAGGGTCCTGTCGTGAGATCTAGATTTAATAGAGATCCAGAGGTAACATAGCTAAGTAGTACTAGTGAAAGCGTGGTCCCGCCCATCCTTAAACCATTATTGTCTGGCTCTAGTCTCTCCTGTAAGACGGTCAGATAAGTTCTCAGAACTCTCTCCTGTGAAACCTCTTCCTGACTGAAGCCTCTCCTTCCCACAGCATGGGATTCCTGGTGAAGTTTTAATTCTTTGTGGACCACTGCTTCCATAATCAGATAGCCAAAGGGAGAGGCAGAATCCCTAATGATCATATTCCAGTTCCAACTGCTGGGGCCACATTGACATTTTAAGTATAGTTTATAGACCAGGAGATGCACAGCTGCCAGAAGCATAGCCCGTGTGCAAAACTCTCCACACTGGAACTAAAGCTGCTCAGTCTACCTTTTTCCAAAAGCAGATTTGGGACAGTGACACAATAACAAGCCCAACATGTTCCCAGTTCTATCTCAATCACAACAGGGCCTTGCTGTTACACACACACACACACACACACACACACACACACACACACACACACACACGCACACACACACAGAGCTGGGGACACTGACTGAAACAAGGATGGCAGCTCAGTCTTTGCCACTATGGGACTGTCTGGTACCCAGTGTCTTTTACATTTCTGCCTCATTCCTTCACAAATCACTTTTCTTTATCTCCGTGCAGTCCACCAGTCCAAATACCTGCCAGAGATATCGAGAACTCCAAAGTCATAATGACTACGTTTAGTGTTATAACAATCTGGTTCAGCTTGGGTTCCATTAGCTATAGCCAAGGGATGGGTAGACCCGCCTCCATTTCTGCTCAGGTGGTTGGGGACTGATGGGTCTCTCCACTGAACCTTCTTACTCCTGATTACTTTCAGAGCATCTGTGTTAGTCACTTTTCTTGTTACTATGACCAAGAAGACACTTAAGGGAATGAAGAACTTATTGCGCTCACGGTTTAAGGCAACACAGTTCATTGTCTGAGGAAAGGAGAGGTGGCAGACATGTGAGGTGGTTGGGCACATTGTGTCAGCAATAATGAGAATGCAGAGAGTGCACAGGTAATGGGGTTGATCTGTGATACCTCGAGGCCTGCCTCCTAAGACTTTCCTCATCCAGCAAAGCTCTCTCTCCTAAAGCTTTCACAACCTAACCAAACAGTGCCCCCTACTGGAGACCAAGTGATCAAACACATGAGCCTATGAGGGGCAGTTCACACTCTACAACTTTCATATATTCTACATGCTTTGTCCTCACACTGACTGAGCTAAGTATTGCTGGAGATTATTTGCTGTTTTTGCCTATCCAGTGTCCATTGTTCCTTCTTCTAGTTTTGAACCTCTCTTTTTCTTTTGGAAACATTCCATAATATCCACATGGCCCAGACAAGCTGGCAAACTTCCACTCCCCAGCCTGCCTGTTAAGAATCAACATGGTTTGCCAGAATTTCACTCAGTGGCCAAAGAGAGCCAAAAAGTCCTAGGTAGAATTTTTGCTGGAAGATCTAGCTAAAAAGGAATGCTTTCTTTCCACTGGAGTTCCCAAAGTCATGCTTGAGGCTGCTCATGACTATCTTGAGTGACTCCCAAAATGAAGTCAAATTCAGGTGAAAAAAAGACAGAACCAAGAAACAGAAACACACAGTGGACCATGTGGCTTGAGGGGTAATTCAATGTGACCATACTAGCAGTAAGTGCTGAAATAATCTTTTTACTCCTTTACCTTTTCACTTTTACTCATCATATATGGAACCATGTTATTTAAGGGCATATTCATATTGGTGTACATTATACATTGAGTATATTCCTCTCCCTACTTTCATATCATATATACATGCATATATACATGTGTGTGTGTTTGTATTTATAAATGTATGTTGTATCTACATACAACAAGAAACCAGGGCTATTGAGTTGGCTCAGTAGTCAAAGACACTTGCCACCAAGCCTGACAACCTTTGTTGAGTCTCTGAACCCACAGAGCAAAAGAAGATGCTCAACACTTGCAAGTTGTTCTCTGACTTCCATGTGTATGATGTGAAATACATGCACTCCCATCCTAACACATACCAATTTTCTTAATAAATCTGGAATCACAAAAGAGAGGAAACATATTTGTGTTTAAGAAACTGGATTATGATTGTCCTCAATTGTATTCATTTTTCTGCAAATGATATTGCTCTGTCACTCTTTGTGACTGAAGAACTTCCATTGCATACAGTTAGCACACTAGCTGTTCTTCTCTTGGTGGACATCTAGGTTGGTCCCATAGCTTAGCTACTGTGAATGGTGCTATGGTAAACACTGATGTGTCTCTGGGATGTGTTGACTTGAAGTCCTTCAGGTAAATACGAGGGAATGCTATAGCTGAGCCATGTGGTAGATCTAGTTTTCGTTTAGTTTTTTTTTTTTTTAGAACCCACCATCCCAGCTTCATAATGGCTGGACCAGTTTGCATCCCCACCAGCAGTGTAAAAGGGTTCCCTTTTCTGTACATCTTTACTTTTTTTTGAGATGAAACCTCAATGTAGTTTCAATTTACATTTTCCTGGTGGCTAGTGACTGTTAAATGTGTATATATGTGTATGTGTGTGTGTGTGCACATACTTATATGAGTGTGTGTAAATTCATCTGTGTGTGTGTATTCATATGTGTGTGTGTGTATTTGCCATCTGTATTTCATCCTTTGAGAACTTTCTGTTTAATTAGTTAGCCTATTATTTGATTGGGCTGCTTTGATTTGCTCTTTTATCTTTTTGAGTATTCTTTGTGAAGGGACACAAGTCCACTCACATGTGGCTCTGGCAGGCCTTGCCCTTCTCCCCATTCCTCTGCCTTGCTAAAAAACATTAGAGTACATTCCTAAAGCTACCCCCCCCCAAAGTCTATTCCTTTATTTGACCAATCTCTCTTCTTGAGACTGATTATGAAGGTGTAGCTATCAAAATATTGAAGTCCAGTAATTGAAACGCCCTTTGGCTCATGTAATTAACATGCCCAATTATTCAAGTACAGGGATTCCCATTTTACCTTTATAAACCACCATTTGCCTATGGGCCGCGACTGCCTCCTCTCTATCCAAAGGCGTTTTGTCTCTTGTCCCTCCAGTACAAATATCCATGCTCCCTTTCCTCTCCCCTCCTTACTTGTCCTTGGTCCCCTGTATTTGTATTTATCCTGCCCTCTGTCCCATGGGGCAAATAAGTCCCCTTTGTGCCGAGAACTTGGTCTTGGGAGTCCTGAGCTGATAGCAATCTCTTACACTTTGTATGTTTGGGATATTAATCCTCTGTCAGATGTCTAGCTAGCAACAGTGCCTTTACCACGTTCAAATTTTTATTTCTATTTTTAATTTTTCCCCTATGGCAATATGAGTTGGTTTTCATCCTTGTACCCAAAAGAATCCCTAATGAAAATCTCTGTGGGGAGAAATTATACGTTTCTTCCATTTCTTTTAATTATGTATATGCATATGTGCCTGCACATGGGTGTGTACCTGGGTGTGCAGGTGTCCACAGAGACCACAGGTGTTGGCCCCTTTGGAGATGGAGTTACAGGTGTGTGTGAGCCATCTGATGTAGGTGCTGAGGCCTGAACTCATGTCCTCTGTTAGAACAGCACACTCTTGGCTGCAGAGACATTTGTCTAGTCTAGAAGTTACACTCTTTATCATGTCAGCTTCCCCTGTCACCATATGGAGAATGAAAGAACACCCCAAGGCTACAGTGTTCAGGGAGCCTCGACTTCAGGACAAGCAGAGATTCAGATCTGAAGGCTGAGATCTGCTTTGGGAAATTACTGAAGGGAACACTAGAGTTTAAGTCCAGACTGTGTTATGGGTATTGTTTTTCATTTATTGATACAAATTCAAGGTCAATTTTGTGATATGTATATTTCTCCTCTTGATTAAGTATTGTGCTTATACTGATCTTTTAAAACGTAATGCATAATTGAATACAGACTATAGATAGTTACTTATAATAGTCAGAATTTATAGTTAGGTAAGTTAGGTTTTCTAGATATACAGAAATATATTTGTCATAGACAGTCTTCAAACCTTTCAAAGACCACAGAAGGATAATATATAAACACTAGGATTGACAGAGACATCTTACTGCCTGGACAGTCACCCGAAGTTCCTCTGTAACATTGGAGCATCCATCTTCAGCCCATAGGCCACAATGTGTCCAGAAGATTTCTCAGCAAAGCAGGAAATTTCAAACTGTCCATCTGCATTGGCAGTCTGTCAGTCATTTCTCTGTCCTGTAGAAAGTCTGGTAGACACTTCCATGAAGCAGGACCCTGTAAGACTGAGTTTAGCAGTCACTTTTCTGTGGGTCCTGCATGTCCAGTTTATACAGCAACAGTCAGTCTAGGCAAGAGCAGTTTCTTGCCCAAATGGCTAATCTTGCCGTATTGAAAGCAAACTCCATAACGAGTTTCTTCGATGCCCATCTTCCTCTCAGACGTAATTGGTGCTGCCAGGAGCAGACATTTCTCATTGTCAAGAAAAACCCTAAACCATTTTAAATGCCATTTTCTGAAGGTCTTTGAGAGGTTACCGGAGAGGTTTCCGGGCTTCCTACCCCAATGGCGTTACATCTCGAACTCTCTTGTGTTTCTCCTTCCCAGAATCCTCCTGGACTCCTAGCCCCACCTATCTAGATTCCTATTGGCCAGACAGTCTTTATTGACAAATGCACAGGACTTCCCCCAACAAGACTGTAATCACAGGACTCTGGAGGCTGAGGCAGGAGGACTGCTGCAACGATAAGGCCAGTCTAAGCTCCACAGTGAGTATGTAAACAAAGTAAGACCCTGCTTCAAAACAAAAGTAAGTCCCCAAAACAAAAAAATAAAACCTCCAGTGGAGGCCAAATGCTACATATCAAAGTGTTTATACCATAATGTACAGCAGTGACAAAGGCAATGCCTAGCACAGTTCACACACCTCCTTTCCTCTTTTCCCTTCTCATCTTATTGTAGTTTTCGTTTTTTGTTTGTTTGTTTGTTTGCTTTTGTTTCTGCTTTTCTCTTTGGGGCCTGCCACCCAGCTCCCAAATAAATACATGGAGACTTGTTCTTAATTATGAATGCCTGTCCTTAGTTTGGCTTATTTCTAGCCAGCTTTTCTTTTCTTTTAATTCATTTTACATACCAACCACAGTTTCCCCTTCCTCCTTTCCTTTAATTCTCCCCACCCTTCCCCCCAAACCAGCCCCCATCCACTCCTCAGAAAGGGTAAGACCTCCCATGGGAAGTCAACAAAGCCTTAGCCAACTTTTCTTAAATTATCCTGTCTACGTTTTGCCTCTGGGCTTTTACCTTTCTTTATTCTATGTCTTTTTTCCTTCTTACTCTGTGACTGGCTGGGTGACTGGGTGACTGACTCCTGGAGTCCCTTTCTCCTCCTTTATTCTCTCCTCCCCCCTCATTGCTTCCCATTTATCCTCTCTGCATGCCAGCTCCACCTGTTTCTCTCTCCTGTGTAGCTATTGGCCACTCAGCTCTTTATTAGTCCAATCAGGTGTTTTAGACAGGCAAGTTAACACAGCTTTACATAATTAAACAAATACAATATAAAAGAATACAACACATCTTTGCATCATTAAACAAGCATAAAAGAATATGAGGCATCTTTAACTAATATTACACGACACCTTAGCATCTCCATTTTCTTCCAGAATTCTCTCAGGTTCAAAGGTACATATCTTAGCCACTCACCTAAGCTCAGATGCCCCCTCCCTACATACAAAGCTGCTCTAGCCTCACCCCTCAGCCCTCTGATTAGTCTATCTTCTGGAAGGCAATCTCTGTAAAGAAGTCTGGGGAGGCCCCAGGAACAGCCCTGAAGCATCTGGTCAGAGAATTCTAACATCCTAGGGACCTAAATTAAGGGAGATCCAAAATGAGGAGGCACAGGCCTTGAGCAACACCTTCTTCAACCTTACAGTTTTCTTCCCCAGAGAGGAGAGCCGTGGCCACAGCGTAGCCAGAAGATTTTTTTTTACAAAAGAAGCCTGGATGCTGGGAAGATAGCTCAGCTGGGAAAGTACTTGCTATGCCAACACTATGGCCCAAGTTCAATGCCCAGAAGCCACTTGTAAAGAATGACATGGTGACACACACTTGTAATTCCAACATGGAGAGACAGAGGCAGGCAGATACCTGGGGCTCATTAGTCTGACAGCTGAAATTACTTGGCAAGTTCCAGGCCAAGTGAGAGACCTGTCTCCAAAACTGGGGGGGGGGGGGGGGCAGGAAGTAATGGTACATGAGAAACAACATCCAAGGTTGACCTCTGGCCTTAACATTTATAATTGTATGTGCACACACAGCTACATGTACATACAAACATGGAACGTATACCCACATGCATATAAACACTCAGAAAAGAGAAACCTGGAAAGGGCCCTTATTGCTGGAGTTTTCTCTTGTCCCGCCAGGTCCCGCCACCCTTCTCAGCCCCCAATAAGCACACAGAGACGTATATTAATTATTAAACTTTTGGCCGATGACTAGGGCTTCTTGACTAGTTCTGTCTTAATTATTAATCCATTTCTATCAATCTAAGTATTTCCACATAGTCTTATCTTACCAGAGAAGGGTCTGGGAGTGTTACTCCTTCCTCCGCTACATAGTGTCTCTTTGCAGTCTCTCTCTGCCTGTCTTTCCCAGAATTCTCCTCGTCTCCTAGTCCCACCTATCTTCCTGCCTCTATTGGCCAGTGTTTTATTCATTAACCAATAAGAGGAACATATATACAAAAGGACATCCCTCATCAGGTCCTAGTCTGCTTCTATGTTGCTGTGATAAAACCTGACCAAAAGCAACCTGGGGAGGAAAGGGTTTATCTGGCCTCAACAAGGGAAGCAAGACAAGAACCAGAGACAAAAACCTGCAGGCAGAAACTGAAGCAGAGACCATGGAGGAACATTACTTACTGGTTATTTCTTTGTCTTGCTCAACTCCCTTCTCAAATAGACCAGGTCCACCTGCCCAGGGGTGGCACAACCTGTAGTGTCTTGACCCTAAACATCAGTTACCAATAGAGAAAATGCCTCCACAGTCATGCCCACAGGTCAATCTGATGGAGGCATTCCTCAGTATATCTTAGTTTGTGTTGCGTTGACAAAAACTAACCAGTCAAGGTCCCTCTTGCTGAGGTCTAAAGGCAAGTTCTAGGCTGATGCCATACATAGGAGACAATTTGATTGGCAGCCCCAAGACATGAACTAGCTTTTAGCCTGTTATGCATAGCTTCCTTGGACTGGCGTTTCCATATTCTAAACTTGCATAGACCATTTCAGGTGTGGCTTACTGTCTGATTAAACAAAAGGTTACCAGGCTGTGGGGAAAGTGTTGTCCAGCACAGTTGATTGTGTCTCTTACTGAAAGACAAGTTTCCTTGTGGATCCATCAGCTAAGGATATGCTAGTGTTAGAAGACCACTTTAATAAGAATGATCCTGATTTGGCTCCGGACATCACTGTCACCCAGTCATACAATTCATTTATTTCCTGATTTCTCCAAGTATTTGGGATGGTGAAATTATGTTCATGAGTCCCTGCTTGGGCTCTGCAGGGTCAGTGCTGGCACTCACAGCTATTTATGTGGACTTGTGTCTTAGGATTGTTACTGAAAGGGATAATGGTTTGAAAGAAATACAGACATTGTTGGAAAGACCTGTGGAATCAAATAGATGAAACTTGGAAGCTTATAGACATCTGTATTTGACGATACAGCTTTTACCATCAGACAAATGAGTTTTCCAAGTCAAATAAATGTAGACTATCCTGGATGCAAAGGCCATTAGAGGCCTCTGAGAGCATCCTCTTCATGGCACATAAGTGGTCCCCCAGGGCTACAGTCACCCAGGCAGCTTCCCAGAAAGTAGGACTAGCAGGCATAAAGGCTGTGATCAATTATCTCCTATCATTCACATCCCTTCCTAAGTCTCCAGCAGAAAGGGCCCAGGACAGGCAGTGGCTGAGAGCAGGCAGCTTAGCTGGACCAAGGACACAGCTGTTACATGTGGAATATTATCTTACAGACCCTGGCCGTGCTGGGACACCAGGACAAACTCCAGCTCCTGCACACAGCAGTTCTCTCCTTAGCAGAAACCTTACTTTACCTCTGGTTGAACTTGCCTCCCCCAGCTTTAATTGCCATTAGTTCCCACTGAGCTGAACATTTGGCTGTGTTGGTATCCTAATTGTGTTTTCTCTATGGTGAGTTTTCTGATCAGTTCTTGCCTCTTAATTAATTCTCGGTGCCTCTGTGCTTTCCAGGACCACATTTATGAGGGCTGTATATATAAGATGCCACTTCTTGGTCTTATTTATTGTGAATTTTTCTCCCAAGACATTGTTATTTTTTGTTTTTATTTTATTTTAATATTTGAAAGCTACACATGTGCACACACAGGCACATAGGCACGGAGAGGTGACAGGGACACACACACACACACACACACACACACACACACACCTTCTCTCTTTCCCTTTGTGGCTCCCTTTCTCCCTATATTTGCTCTCGGGCTCCTCTGTGGATGTGTGTGTCATATAGCAAAAATGTCACAGCTGAAGAGAGAAATCTGGGAGTGGCATGAAAAGCAAGAGCCTGGATGACCTTGGAAGAACGAAACAGTGAACAAGAAAGGGTAAGCTGCCAAGAATGAAGGAGGGCCCGAGTAGCAACCAAAGTGAAGCCAGCCCAGCTTGAAGTCAGGAGAGGCAGATTGAGGAGGACAGGAACTCCCAGGGAGTCTCTGTGTTGAGGGGACCAGCCTTCGCCTTTGTTTTACCTCGTCTTTCGTGGTTTCATCCCTCTGGAGTTCCCTGGGGACAGGTGCCAGGTGAGTCTCTGATACTGCCTGGTCTCCAGGTGTTGGGCACCATTTCAGCTCAGTGTCCTAGCTTAGCCCCTTCTGCCTCTCTAGCTCTGCAGACGAGGAGAGCCAGGAGCTAACTGGGCTCTGAGTTGTTTCCCTGACACAGGATATGGCTTCTGGACCAAGCCAGCTGCCTCTGTCTCTTGGACCTCTTGCACTCCTATTAGGCACTTGAAGTTACTTTGGACGCTTAAATGACAGCAATGGAGAGAAAAGTAGTGCATTTTGAACAACCTTCAAGGAGGAGTGGTAACTGGAAGGGATGAGGAGGAGGCCGCATTTCCAAGCATCCTAAGGCTCAAGCAGATTGAGTTATTCATGACTCTAGATAGCTTCATATATGTGGAAACAGAGTCAGTCTGAGGGCCACCCCATGAATTTCTCAAAAAGACATGGTTAAAAAAAAAGTGGAATTGAGAAGGGACATCAGTTTTGCTACTCTCCAGTGTATCGGGTGGCTTGCCACCTGGAACAAGATTGGGGATGTGGGCTTCTCTCTCCCCTTACTCTAAGCAACACCTCTGATCATGACTGACACAGAGCCTGGGAAGTCTAGAGGTATTTGGATTTGCAGGTAAATATGTTGATCTTTTGTGGGTAGGAAAGGATGAACTGCTTGTAAACAGAAGAGGGCCCCGAACCTTCTTGGCAGTCCTGGTGACTGGCAGTGTGGGCTGCCTGGCTGGCCTGCATGCCACACTTGGCAAGGTCAACAGATTCTAGAAAGCATTTCGAGGTAACCACACAGGAAACAGAGTCAGTGGCTAGAGTAGGGACACCCAAAGGTCCTTAGCCGCTAGCGCAGCTCTAGGGAAAGCACTGTGTTTTCCTCGTGGAGGAGACCAAAAGTGTGTTGAACTTGCTTATACTTTACTTTTGCTGGGGACTTGGTGCTGTTTT